GTACATATGAGATAAAAATCAGGGCTATTCTAGCATGGTTGTAGAGGTGGATAAAAAAGTTGAATTTAATTATTAACTACAGCTAAGATATTTAATTAGGATATTTTCTTTTTTTACTGGCATCAACTTGCAAAAAACACTAGTGCTGAAATACATGAAAATTACAATAAATTATGCAAGTAAAGTGTTTATACATACTTTTCTTTTGCAATATTTCCATTTGCTTGCATACTGTTTGTTTCAGCATTAGAATGTAACTATTTGATTTTTAATACATTCCAGTCAGTCGATAAATACTGTATATAAGCATATTAAAATGGAGGGGTTTATAGACAGCATTTTCCTATTAAGAATTGTGAACAAAATCCTTGAAAATGAAATGAGCTGACAACTGTAATTGGAGCAGATGCGTAAAGTACCGTTATAACACATTGCACCATCAATTATGTGTCAAACATGCTGCCAAATATTAAGTGTTCTGACCTTTGTTATTAGTAATAGAGGCAGACACTGGGAACATGTGAAGGACAAATAATGTAATGCATGGAAAAATCTATTATAGATTTGATTTTGTTAATGGATATAGAGCCCATTTGGTGTCCTGCCCCTCCCCTTGTAAGCTATAATTTTTTAAAAAACTGGACATACCATGTAGTGGAAAGCCACATTGTGAAAAACATGCTTTGATAGAATAAAATGTTCCTAAGTTAAATAAATTAATAGTGACAGAAAGCTTGTCATCAAGTTTTACTACTTTATTTATATATGTATTTGTCATTTCCCGTGTTCCTTGGGAAATAATGTGGAAGAAGTGAAATGAAGCAGGCTTGTCTTTACTGTATTCACCATTCATTCTTGTATTTTTAAGTTGTTATTTTGCTCAATATCGTCTATCATCGTGTAGAGATTAGCTAGTCAAAGATTTAGTCAACGTCTTTCTCCAGACTATAGCTTCTAATGTTTTTAGGTGATCATGCAGGACAATATTGATAATATGTAAAAATGACAAAACCAGCAGAAGGGCCAACCAAAGAACAGCGAAAGGAGTGGTGGTGTTTTAAAAAAAAAAAAAAAAAAAGTCACAAAAACCAACTCCTTAGCTGACTTAAATAGAGCAAAGAAAATAGAAAATGTGGGACAGAGAAAACTCCTTCCTCTGCAGGCACCGATGGCACTGATTTCCTGCTTCCTTCTCGAACATAGATCTCAGAATGTCTCGGCAATAAAATGTTAAGCAGTTGATCCAGGATTTCATGTGGAGTGCACTGCAACTAATTCACGTGAAAATCAATGGACTGTTTACAGTTATCAAAAAGCTTACTTTGGTCCTAAAAGTTGCAGAATTTCTCTTATCAAAAATTTGTTAATGTTATATTACTTTCAGACAATAAAACAATTATTTAGTATTTTTTTTTTTTTTTTAATTTAAGATTACATTTGGGAATAACTAGCTTGGTGACAAACATTTCTTTCCAAATTTCGTAAGTTTGCATAAGCTTAATGAAAAATTAGAGCTCCTCTGATTTGTAGTACATTTTTGTTGATGTTACTTTCTTTGTGTCTTGTCATAAATTCTAAATAGGTGTTGAAGTCTGGATTTCCATCGCAAAATCATTTTGAGGTTTAATTTTTTTTTTTCAGTGTCCTACACTAAAAGCCGATGCACAATTAAGAAAGAGCAAAGAATTTGGAATAAAAGATAGGGACCAAGACAGTATATTTTTGTGAAATTAACCGAAATTTAGACAAAATAAAAAATGTTGCCAGACAACTCTTATATTTACAGAAGCAGTTGCATTCCTCTCTTAAAAATTTAGAAACTTTTTAACAGTCCTTAATGATCTGATGCCTTTACTGTATGCAGATCACACTCTTCTAATCAACCAGAACTTAAGATTTAGTTTGATGTTCATGTCAACCATAAAGTTTGACTGTTGTACAAAATTAAATAACTCCACAAGCTCCTTACACTTATGTTCCTTTAAACAGTTTGACACAGATGAGAGTAATTTGCTGCAGTTCAAAAATACATGCCTTTCATAGACTTACAGTGAATATACTAGGAAGAGATCATTGATCTGTGTGTCAAGGTAATATTGGAAACATATTGAAAAATCAACATCTATTTTCTGTTCTTTTTTTTTCCTGACTCTGGGCACTGCATGTACTGTATTTGGTATACATGTATGGATTTCCTTCTCCCTTTCTTGCTAAATCAGGAGAGGGGAGAGAACAAAAGCCCTCTAGTGATCCAAGTTGGTTTTCCAGTATATTTGTAAGTTTGAATTGAAGCCATCTTTACAAGCAAATGGCTTTATTAAAGTAAACACAAAATAATTCAGATACAATAATGATGATTCATTTTTTAAAAAAAGTAATTGTATATATGTGCTCCAGAAATTGTTTTCCTTTTGTTCATACTAAGTGAGCACTTCATGTTGTAGGCAGTATCCTCCATTCTTCACGTGGCACTCTGGCCCATGGAATATCCAGGAAGAAATGCATTTGAAAACAATACTTCATTAAATTAGATACAATACTTTATTAAAGCCACTAATTTCTTCATGTTTTGACTTTTATTCATACATATTTTATATGTGTATACCAAATTCGCTGTCCGGCTGGAAAGACATGACTTGATTTCCTGACCAGAGAGGGTTTCATCAACACAGATTATTTCTAACAAATATGACCTCTTTCCTGCTCCGTACGCTGGCTTCTTATCAACAAAGTAATTTTGAGTTTCAGTACTTATTTTTCTGATGATCTAGGCCCATACCTTGAATATCTGAAACAACAGTAGCCAGCGTTTTGTCTACAGTGGGTTGCACAGGCTTTCAAGGGATTCGTCAAAGGTTGGTGAACCTTTGGTTGGATTATTTTTCCATGTCACCCCCGTGATCTGCTGGTACCTCCTAGGATCAGCTACTAGATGACTAAACACAGTTTCCATTCCCGTGCCTTTTACGTAATGGACTGGCATCCAGCCTTGTGACAGGTTATGCACGCCGCCTCCATCCCGTGACCTCCCGTGCCACGCATATTCCCATCACGTGGCAGGCACGCATCTGCGACGCGGGCATTTACTGCGCTGGTGCAGCGACCCCCTTCTCGTGACTCAAGGGGCATGTGCTGTAGCGCTCTCAGGAAACAGCCTGGCAGGAATGAGGCTACTCAAACCCTGTTCTTATCACCTCTTGAGAGAGACGAAAGCAAGCAGACAGTGGCCGAATTTGTTGTTTGTTCAGCTTGGATTTTTGTCTCTGATCCACTCGTTGAGAACCTGTGTGGCGTCCTGCAAGGAGAACAGGGGAGTGAGATGCTCTGTGTTGCCAACAAATTTGAAGACAAGGCCCCAACCTACTGCTTGCTGGGTGGCTTGGGTCAGAGATGACCCTTCCTATGGAGGCAAGGAAAGAGATGAAGTCCTGATTGAATGTGTTTCTGAGACTGATAGCTTGACTGTTAAAATCTCCCAGGACAAAGTATTCTGTCTGATAACTGTGGTTAGCAACGCTTTAGTGAAAACTTTTTTTTTTCTTCATAACACTTTGATGTACAAAATGACGTTGAAATCTGCATTAGCTTTGGCTTCTGTAGTTGCAGAAATTAGTTCTGTGAATCTGCCTTACCGGGGTGTTTCTCCTGGATTTGGCACCTGATAAGGAAGTGGATGGGACAGTGTGTGCCATTTTGTACCCTTTTAGTTGTTTGTGAGACAAGGAGCAGTTTTGGTTCAGGTCAGCTGGTTCAGCACCGGTCGTTTCACTTGCGTAGTGTTCAAAATCACTTACTGAAATAATTTCTTTTTTGTTATAGTGGAGTTTGGTAAAGAATCCTAAATTTCAATTTCTATAGTTTCATATTTCTGGTTTTAGACGTGCATTTTACACTGTTACAGCCTTGTTATTCTTGGACCAGCGCAAAAGTTTTGTAGTAACCTTTACAGAGTCTGTAGCCAGTTGCTAGACACTTTTTACAAAGTGTACCTCTATATTTTGTGTCTCATACTGCCATCTAAGGGCCACGGAGGCTGAGAAGGTGGCTAAGGGTTCTTCAGTGGTTTTCTTTCTCCTTACTGCCCTTCCCTCTGGGAAGTCAGCAATTCATGGATGAGAGAGGGTGGACAGGGAATAACAGCAGTCCTTTGATGCAAGATGTTGTTTCATCTAAGAGGATAGAGGAATCTTCCAGATAAGTGAGAAATGAGAATGTAAATCTGAGTCGTAGTCTTTTAGGAAAATGCAATTGCAATGAGTTTGTGTAAAACCCAGCAAATAAGAAAGGGCGATTACAGGATTTTAGGCCACTCTTGGACAACAAATTAAGGAGTGTAGTGCTTAGAGTCCTGAAGAGTTTCAGCTGAAACTCTTAGCAGTGAGGGAGCGTGCAGTTCAGATTCTTAAAGGTACCGATGTCCTTGACTCCTACTGATTTAAGGATTAGTGCTTTATAATAGAATTTGCTTATTAAGATTTTCCCTTAAAAGGTACAAAATCACATGAATTATTTTCTTCTTTTTTCTAATTTCACTGGTTTTGCATTTCTCCATGTTTTCATTTTCCTGTACTAAGGGAAAATGGGCAAAAATGTGGTGTTACTTTAAGGGTATGTGATCTTAAATAACATGAACATCATTTAAATATTTTGGAGTTTAAGCATTCAAAATTTTATCATGAAAACTTTTCTTTCCAAGATAAAAATGCATTTTTTTTTTTTTTTTAATCTGCAAATGGTACTTGTATAGGCTTAATTCTGTAGCTCCTTCCTCACACAGATGTTTTGAATGACAAGTATGATAAAGAATTAGTGGCACAAGCAAAACATTTCAGTATTTGTCAATATAGTATTGTTGGCATTGACTGACAAAAGCAGTTTTTGTAATGAGGACCCTTTTGAGCACAACTTTATTTTACAATGCATGAGTTGTTTTTCAGGCTAGTTTCCAGCAAACCTTGTGTAATAGAGAAAGTAATTAATGTTGCATGTTACTTTGACAGGCTCATGCAAGCAAAGACCTGGAAGAGCAGTTGCGGGCTGTGTCCAGTGTGGATGAACTCATGACAGTACTTTACCCAGAATACTGGAAAATGTTCAAATGTCAATTGAGGAAAGGAGGTTGGCAACACAACAGGGAACACTCCAGCTTTGACACAAGATCAGATGATTCACTGAAATTTGCCGCAGCGCACTATAATGCAGAGATCCTGAAAAGTAAGTACAGGACACAAAACACATTCTAACACACAATAAATTAAAATCCGAAAAGCATCATCAGCATCAGCATCATCAGTAAACCACCCTCAGCAGTTTGATTTGATGTAATGGCTATAAAATAAAATCTTTGACAGTCAACCTTCTGTAACGAAATAAATTGCTCCACAGACCTATTTTTGGTACATCCAGTGTAAGAAAGGTATAGACTGCTTTCTCAGCTCAGTAGATATAGGAATTGAAGTGTTTGTCTTCAGGTATAAGGAATCCTGCTTGGTAGAGGCTGTAACAATTTTGCAGAAAGCAAAGAGGGCAGTAATAGTTGGATTTATTGAACTGTTTCTGCTCATTTTCTGCAATTATTCATGGCTGGTAATGCTTTCTTCTCTTACGTGTTACTGCTTTAGGAGGCCAAATAATCCACTTGTAGCTTTTTCCTGTTAGAGGGCAGTTGTCATGATGTTATGCTCAAACCAGAAAAAAACAGCTTTCAAACAAATGTGTCGATACCCCTTAGTGTTTCAGATGGCCTGGATAAAAATATAATTAGCTTACAATTTAAGCAAGTGCTTGCAGGAAGAGAAACACAGGATTTATAGCAGGAGGCATATTTTTTGACATGATACTGGAAATCATGTACCTTAATGGAGACTTTAAGGTACACATTAGGTGAAATTTCCATTTTTGCTGAATAGGCTACCGAAAACTGGCTCCAAGAGAGAATAAAGGGGCCTGTACTGCTGCAAGTCTCATGGCTGTTTAGCGTAAGATTGTATTTGGCAAAAGGCTGTATAACACAATGTAAAATGTTTGCCCAAATTTGCATGGATAATCTGAGCAAAAATACCACCTTTCAGATTAAATCATATCGTGTATATAATTGCTAAATAATGACCTTTTGCTTTAAATTATACTCTAGTAGTTAACAAGGTAAACATGTATTCAAATTAATTTCACATTAAGTGTGTAGGCATCAAATTTAATGTTTTTAATATATAGTATCCAAGTGAAGTACCTGTGTGGGACCAGTTAAAGTTAATTTGCGGAGACGTGTAGTACTTCTTTAGACTTCACTCAAGGTGAGACTCACCCCAGGCACAGGAGAAAGGACATGTACAGCTTTAGCTGTAAATGCTGTAAGATCTGCCCAGCCTTGTTAGGTTCCCTCTTAGCTCCACTGTGACTTTTCTTCTGCTCCATGACAATATGTCACATCCCTATGAAGAAGAAAAATTAGATAGAAGTTAACACAGCAAGATGTGTATTTCACTGAATAAAGGGTGTGACTCTAGCAATGCATATTCTGATTCTAAACTTTAAAAAAAATCCTACTAATTTACTGCAGGAGAGTATTGTTTTTAAACAGTTACTTTATAACACATGAAATTCCCTACAACTTGGCAGGTATTGATACTGAATGGAGAAAAACTCAGTGCATGCCACGTGAAGTGTGTGTGGATGTGGGAAAAGAGTTTGGAGCAACTACAAACACCTTCTTTAAACCCCCATGTGTATCCATCTACAGATGTGGAGGTTGCTGCAATAGTGAAGGACTCCAGTGTATGAATATCAGCACAAATTACATCAGCAAAACAGTAAGTTCTCACTCTTATTACAGTCCCAGTGCTCCTTGCAAATCCATTTATGATAATGCATATTTTAAATCTTCTTATTGCTACTATGAGGAAGGAAAAAAATCAATTCCAGAATACATAGGAAAAACAGCTGAAGAGACTACTGCCTGGAAGAAAATGTTTAACACTCTTTTCCCCCAAATATATTTTTTTTCTTTTTTTCTTTTTTTTTTTTTTAGGGAAAAAAAAATTATGATGTCCCATTCTCAGTTTTGAGATTATCTGTGAAACCTAATTCTATCCTTTTTTTTTTTTGCATCTACCATTTGCCTGCTGTATGAGGCAAGCACTCTCTGGAAAACTAGCCTGTGATTTTATTTGTGAAGACTGTTTTAGGACATGTGCAGGCAGGATACATGTTGCAAATAAAGCCTTTTAGGAACTGAACTTTACTGTATTCTATTTGTTTTGTTTTAATGCATCTTCCTCAGGTGTATGTGCTATTTTTATTCTTCAAGTTCAGGGCTAGTGATAAGGTAGGAGTATGCAGAGATTATGCATTCAGCCTGTGAGCTGCCTTTAAAGGAAAAGCATACAGGCATCATTCTGTTTTAAGTAGCTATAACAACTATCACATTATCTTACAACAACATTTCCCTCAAAAATCATGTAAATATAGTCATGCTTTAAAATGTTTGCTAGGGTATTCTGCTTTTGTAACAGTATTTGGTAGAGGGTTTGTTGGTTGTGGGCTGTTTTACTTTTTACCTCATCTTTCTGATATTTTGAAGAAAACTAATTTTAGTGTAAATCTTGCTTCCTTTTTCAACTAGATTCATCTAGCTGGAGATGCAATATTTATAAGGAAGATACACAACTGCAAAGCCAACTATAAAATCATAGCCCATGGAAATATCGTTCCTTTATCATGAAACTTCTTAGTGCTCTGACCCTTCTTGAGAGGGGATAGGAAAAGGAGACTTAAAGAAAACAGAAAAAAACCTCTTTTTTTTATTTAATGCATTTTTTGTCCTCATTTCTCACCAAAGCTGTCTGTCTGAAATGTATATTCCACCAAGAATTTTCAATCCTAAGTGTGAGCTAGTGGTAGACAGCCACAAAGCACAGGAATAATGTAACTCAAATAGCTTAAACGAGGAAAAATACAACACTGAATTTGTTCAAGCCCATAGTTACTCTCACAAACAGCTGTCGTAATTCCAGTTGCTTGAAAGATGCAAATATAATTTTCATGTTATAAACCAAGAAATACGACCTTTCTCTTTTTTTTTTTTTTTTGCATTTATTTATAAAGTTTAGCTTACTTGAATAAAGGATGATCTAGTTAGAGAGTTGTTGCATTTAGCTCAGATTTTCTGGTCTTTGAGCACCGTGTCAGTTTGGGGTAAATAATCCCTTTCTGTTAATCTTTCTGTTCACATCTATTCAGTGAAGTAATTTTTTTTGCCTAGTAGAAAATGTTTAGACTATACTGAGTTTCTTTTTTAAGTTATTGATGTCATTGGTGATGATGTGATATAGGAGTAGTTAAAGATTTGAGAGACTCTGAAAAGGAAAATGTTAAAGGACTTATTAGAAAGAAGAAAGAGGCAATAGCATTGTTTTGTTTTCTTACCCATCCTGTAAAAGCAAGCAATTTAATCTCTGAGTTTTCTATCTTGCTTCTGCTTTCCAGTTTTATCTGGTCCTTGACAGAATGCAGTTTTAAAAAAACTCTTAAAAAGGAAGAGAGCTATAGCTATATCTCTTCATCTGTCATCATCTCAAATCTTTTTAAAGTTATGTGACCACAGCTTACCCTATATCAGATGAGAATTAGGAAGAAAAAAGTATTGGATTCAAGACCCTTCTGTGGAATTCAGGTACCCTACACACCTATTTTCACTACTGTTTTCCTTTAATTTCCTGAATGAAATGGGAACAAATGGTTAGTAACTAGGCATCTTTTGTTTTTTTGTAAGTCACCATTTCTGTAGCTTTATTTTTGGTGCATAAACCCCGTAAGATAAGCTTCGTACTGTTCACCCTGAAGAAAAAGTGCTTAATGGGAAATTAACTTTTCAGCTGGAGGTCTTACTGTGAGGGCAAGCTCTAGCATTGGTTCCAGACATAAAATCTAAAGAAAGTTGATATCAGCTTTCATCAAAATTACTTAAAAAGAAAAGAGCTAAGCACAGAAATTATTTTTATGGGGAGCAAATAGTTGATTGCCAGGAGAATGGACTAGGTCAGATGTTCCCAGATTGGCTTGTGGAACACTGTGGTGGTCCAGAGAGAGGTCAATAGTTCTCTAGCTCGGGCTGTGTTCATCCATTCTAGCTACTTAACTTTATTAAGTGAAAAATAGAAAAGTATTCTGCTTTGCTTTTAATCCATTTTTTTCCACAAAAAGTGTTTCTTGCTAAGGGGTGTTTATACAATCAGGATTGGGATATGAGACAATTTCTTAATTAAAATGTGGTACAAGGTCTATGCAAACATTTGAGGACCCCCTAGGCTAATTCATAAAATGCAGTAGATCTTTTTCTTCTCCTTCTTCCGTGACACTGCAGTAGCCCAACCTTGTAAGTGGTGGCTTGTCTAATAAAGATCTATGGGGAAGGTGGTTGGTTGGGTTTTGGTTTTGTGGTGTGGTTGTGCTGTTTTTTTCTCTAATTTGTTATTAATCAAATAGCTGTTATCTGTTTCCATGACACGAGTAATTCAACAGCAGTTACAAGGATTGGAGCTACCTGGTGCAGCAACAGCCTGTCCCTCAGCTGTACTTTTTAATGCCCCACCTGTAGGTACTTGCTTATAGTTCGAAGGGAAGCAGTGAGCAGATTTCAAAGAGCCATCTCATTCCATTCTTCCTCTTGGCTGGCAGGATGGACATTTTTTTGGCTTCTTTCAGATCATTTGATGTAAAGGTCCTAAATCTTCTTGTTTCATGGTTACAGTAATAGTCCCTCAAGGGAAAACATCTTTCTAAGCAGTTTGAAATTAGATTTAGAGGAGCTTTTCTCACAGGAAACAAGCTAACAGCTTGAAATTGTTTGCCATATTTGAGATGTACATGATGTTCCTTTACACAATTTGGAGATGTATATGTCACAGGAATTTTCAGTCGTTTTGAACTTTACCATTTATGGTTTTTCCCATGCATTTTTCTGTGTTAGACTGATGATTGTAATGATATAGTAGGTACTATTAATAGTAGGAGATATATCAGTATAAATTCCAAATGTTTTTTGTTAAAATTTCTGGGGAAAAAAAAGTGATTAAAATATAAAAAGATAGAATAAGGAACCCAAGCATATTAAACAGATATGAAATGTATTATATCAGATAAGTTACCTGTTGTTGTATCACACGTAAGACTTGAAATATTGTTTTTTCAAAAAAGTTGGATAGTAAAATAAATAATGATGACATACCATTTTTCAAATAACTTATTTTCATTCTTTCCAGTATAGAGATGTTTAGAGTTTTGAAATCCTTAGCTTGAAAATGTCTCTAGATAATTTGTGCTCTGTTACACTGGTTATATTTGGCCAGCCTTACTGACACTTTAGGAAGTGCAAAGATCACAAGTGATGGAAACTGAGAGTCAATCAATTTAAAGGAAACTTGCCAAAATAAACCACAGTCCATCAGAAGAATGGATGGTGTAGTTAATGTAAATCTGGGAAAAAAATCATACATAAATCCTATGTTTGAAAAGTATCTAGAATGATAAGCTTCCCTCATCCTGATACGAAGATAAGAGTTTTGATTATATTTCAAAAGTCAGTGATCATCATAATAATTTCATGTGTGCTGATACAGTGGATATTGGCACATATGATAGTGCTGAATAAATTAATTTAGCCACTGAAGCAAAGAAATACTTTGTATAGAAATCAACAGTTTTTCTGGAAAGTATGGCATTAAGTCCTTCTAGTCTAAAGAAGGAGCTATCAATGCAGTGAATCAAAAATACATGCCTTCGTAAGGATCAGTGAGGAGGAATATATGGGAAATTTTTTTTTACAGGAATTCTGATAGAGCTTTTGGTCAAGCATTCTGAAATTTCTGTCTGCTGTTAGATTATTATTTTTTTTAAAGGTTAAAATCATGCTGAGCTCTAGGTTGTCAACCAGACTCTGGTCCCACCCTTGTTTCTGTTCTCCACTCCAACTCTATAAATGGCTAAAGGAAGAGCGCTGCCAGTGTGGGAACTGAAAAGAGCCTACTGCAGGGTGGTGCGTGGGACTACACATTCTGGCCTGCAAGTTCTTGCAAGGATGGCTGAAGAAATAACAAGGTTGGGAAGAAGGGGGACTGTTGCACTTCGCAACTGCAATCACTGTGATGCCGAGTGCCAAAGGCCAAGTCTGGTTGGGTAGAGGAATTCAGAGACACCTTTGCCCGGTGTCCTTTTGCTGTGTTTCTCACCTGAGAAGTACAGTACAGAGCATACACACTGATCTTCAAGGATTTAAAAAATTAACGTGTAAAAGAAAGAAAATCCAGGAAAAAAATCATTTGTAGTTGCACACATGATTGTAAAAGTGATCTAATTATTCACTTACCTTTGTATTAGTCTGAAAAGTTCTTTAATTATATACCTGTCTGTACTGGGAGGCAGAAAATACAAGCGTAAGAAGCTGACGTTCGGGTCTGTAGGATATGCTGCCTTTTAATTTTGGCTGGTGCAGTGGAACAAAGGTTAAGTACTAAGCCTAAAATACACCTTATTACAGATTGTGTAATCCAAATGTATGAAGAAAAATGACCTTCCTTCATTTTGCAGATGAACATTTCAAGTTTGGCTAGGTTGAAAGACAGATTATAAAGTCATCTTGTTAATGGCCAGTGGGACAGAAAATACATATCCTTTAAAAAAAAAAAAAGTGTCCTGCAACCAAAACGTTTTTTAAAAAATCCATGTAGTACCAATGACTGTCATGGTTTTAGCACAAAATTTCTAAGCCACTTACTGTACAAGGCTTTTGAATTTTTTTCATGATACAGAAAAA